TCTCCTCCTCTTTTCCCGGATAAAGAACGTGGACACCACTCCACACGCCAACAGCCAGAGAAAATCCACATCCCAAGACAAAACCACACCAAGTCACCCCATCCAGCAGCACATACTTGCTGGTATGGCTGGCAGACGTGAGCCACCCCCTCCCAACTTAGAGCCAGTGCAGAGGGCCACCACAGTGAGGATGGGACTCACAGCTGCTCATGCCATCCAAGGACATGGGTGCGGCTTCCCTGACACCTCCAGCAAGACAGAGCAGGGAAAGCTACTCTCACCGAGCCTCTTGGGCATGGAGTGCAGACCCAAGCACTTGTACTGCGCGTGCAAATGTGTGCCCGTGCACACACGCTGCAGCTCTGCATGATGGGGCCACGAGCCATCCCAGCAGCTATGTCCCGTCCCAGCAGCTACGTCAAAGCCCTCTCCTGTCCTCCTCAGCTCAGCTGCTGGGGGCGGCATAGCAGCAGGGGTGAAATGCACAGACCCAAGCTGTTCTGTTTACATCTCTTGTGCCCCGAGAATGGACAAGATGTCCCTGAGCGGGTGCCCTCCCATGATGAGAGCCCTCACTGAAAGTCCCCACCCCTCCCTTCTGTGTCACCAGTAGGCACCTGTGCCCGCCGCTGCCAGGCCCCACCGTCAGACAGGACTAAGAGCACAGTGCGTATTCTACCACAATGAAGATGCACGCATCCCTTCCCCTCTTCAGATCAACCAGCACCATCAACTCTAAGCACTGCCCAGTTCATAGATGGTTTGTGATACAAGTTCCACAGTGAGTCACTTGTTTAGAAAAAGAACAACTCCCCCAGAGAACTGGTGGCCTGTGTACAAGGTAACACTCTAGAGTCAGCCAACAGAAGTTTCTTAATACACTTAGACTGGAAGTGCAGAATCTTGAATGTTCTATCAAAAGACTGAAAGATGCACCCAAAGTTACCTACCTGGCTCTAAGAAAGTAACTCAAATCCTCCAGGGGATGCCCAGAACACATCCCCTGCCCCAGCAGGTCAATGACACCCTGCCCCTCCCCTCACGGATCCCCCAAGGAAATCCTCCCACTGAGGGAATGGATCTGCTCAGAGCAGTGGCTGCAGGCTGGCCTGCCGGTACTGGGGTGTGACAACTCCAAGAGCTGGGCGGCCTCCACCGCCTTCCTTCCATCAGCAGACCTGCCAGGGAGCTGACCCTATCCCTTCCCAGGACATCGCCTTAACACTGCTCATGGCCCTTCCCGTATTTCTCCTGTCCCCAAGTAAGGGCAACCCTCTTGAGGTCCCTGAGGATTCTGACTCCTTGGAATACAGTCTGTGATTCCCAAGCTGCCTCTCATCTTCTCCCTCCTGTACCACCCGCCGGGGAGGCAAACCCCTCCTCCAGCTGTCTCTAATGGAGCAACAGACGGCACTCACAAGTGTGCCCTGCTGCCCTTCCCCTGGGGACAGTCCTGCCCCAGCAGACTCCACCCTGTGAGCAGAGCCCAGGGCCAAGGAAGAGGCTGTACTGTGAAGAGGGTGGAAGAGGAGAGAGGAGAGGCACGAGCGGCCTGCAAGAGGCAGGCAAGGACGGTTCTCTTCCTTCTTGAGCCAGCTCCACACCTGTTCTAAGCTGGGGGCTGGGGAAGCGAGATGAACAAGCCAGAGCCCTGGCACCAATGAAGGGAGCACAATCCAGTGGGAAAAGACATGAAAACAAAAAAGGACAAAGTGGAGGAAGAGCCACATTAGAAGACCGTGCACAAGATTCACATGTGGGGATTCAGAGGTGGCAGCAACGGGGCCTTGAAGAGACAAGGATGCTTCACAGAGGTGGGGGGTGGGGGGCAGGCCAGGAGGATGAGCAGGGTTTCCTGGCTGCTAGGGAGCCAAGCACAGGACGGTGAAACAGCAGGTTCCAGAAGGAGCTCATCGTAGCATGGGTGCGGGGCTCAGAGGCAGGCCGGGAAGGGCGCTCGGTGGGACAGAGTGAAAGGGAAAAACCTGAAGAGTGG